TCCAACGCCACGAGCCCATCTGATTTCATAGGGTCGTATTTAACACACACAAGCACGTGCTAGATATTCTCTTTATATATTAGTTTTTACTGTATTGATGGCAACAAAACGCCCCCCCCCCCCGTCGAAAATGCCCATGACTAAGTCACACCCAATCAGCTCATCATCCCGTACATTTCCTGATATATCATAGTGGCCCGTGACGTACAATTATTTAAAATTCAAATAAATTCAAATGAATTCAGAATTAAAGTTCAGCACACCTTATACATATAAGCACAACTTAATATTACATGCATGTTTTTTAAAAGATATTAAAAAAAAAAATTTTTTTTTCCTTCCAAAAGATTTAACCTACACTCACTAAAATAACTACCTTTGTTATTATTCAGGTTTCACTTTAAAAATATGCAACATTTATTCATTTTTGTTTTTTTTTTTTTTGTTCTTTTTCTTGTTGTTGTTCGCCTAAATTCATTTTAATGCACACACCATGAAGAAAAAATTATACAACGTGATCCATATTCATTTAAAAAGGAAATCTACAGGTGGCGTTCAAGTGTATATGATAAAATTTAACAAAAACAAAAAATGCTGTGTTGTAACAGTTTAAATGAAAAAAATTATTTAATCCTGGAAAATCTCTACAAAAAAAAAAAATAAGAAAAAAATTAAAATTTTAATTGAAACTATGGAAATTTAATCTTACTTTTAATTAAGTTAGTGAAACTAACTACATACAACGATATTCCTAATATTAAGCACACGTCGTTTTTTTGTTTTATTTCAAATTAATTTACAAGAACACAAAGAAACCATGATAAGCAAGAGTTTTTCAGTGCAAGTGCAAGAGAAAATTAGCAATTTTAAATTTGTATGGTTGGACTTTTAAACTTAAAAGAGTTGATGTGGAAATTATCAAGAAATTGTTAACAAAATCTCTATATTTTTTTTTACTTGCGAAACAAAATTTAGTAGAGTTAGGTCAAACGAATTGTTTGTAAAGCAACACTTTTCCCTTCAACAAGTAAAAATGCTGCTTTTGAAAACAGTCTACTAAGTCTTTAAAATTACTTTTATTCATATTTCAAATTAATTCAGAAATTGCATACATTTAGGATGAGACAAGAAAAAAATTCGAAAGAGGCGCTATCATCATGGTCGAATTTAAGAAAAATGTGAAGTTCTATACTTTGATGGCATTGACATGATTGGCTTTCTGTATTCATGGAAATTTGAAAACTTGAGGGTTTGGAAATATAAGGCGGCAAAAATTTAAATTTTCAAATTTCGAGAGGCGATAACTTGTTAGACGGTGGAGATGTGAGAAAATTTTTTTGTAACTAAATTAACTATTTATAAGTAACTGAAAGCTGCTAACATTTTATACTACTACAGCCAGTGGTCTACTAGAAAAACGATATTAAAAATTTTCGGAAAATCCGTCAGTGTGACCGATTTTGTAAAGTTCAAATATGATATGTCACAATAGAAGAAGCCCAACCTTTCACCTTTTACAGAGTTTCGAAAAATAGGAATTTTTAGATGGGCTATAAATTTAATGGGGGGGGGGGGGGAAATAAGTAAAAATTAAGTTTCTATTAAAGATCTGTCTATATATGAAATTTTAACTGCCTATCTTCAAGGATGTAAAAGTTTTGAAAACATCTCCTAGAAGATTGAAACTAATAGGCCCTTTCTACAAAAATTTTTTAGAAAAATCCTAAATAGTACTCTAATTTCAGCATTATCTGTTAGTGCTTTATTACTTAATTTTTTAAATTTAATACAATTTAAGCATTTCGAGGAGATTTGCAGAAGATTTCCCAAACAGAAACTTGAACTAATGTGTGTTAAAACCTATTCTTGAAATCAAAGAAATTATAATTTTGGTTCCAATTTTGATAATTACAAATCAATCACATATTTTGGTATACACTAACACAATTTTAATTCTAAAAATTAATTGTAGAAAAAATTCAATAATCTCCTATACTACTATTTCATATCCTGAGGGTTCACACAATTTCTTCTGCAAATATATTTGAAAAAAAAAAAATATTCATTAAAATTTTTATTAAAATTTATTTAAAATTTTTTTTTAATTTAAAATATTCTGTAAACTATACCATGATGTGTAAACATCTGTTACAATATTCATTTTCAATATCAAACAAATTTTTGTGCTTCAGCAATCAAAATAATTTTAATAATTTCAATAATTTCGTCTATAGATAATTTATTTGAAAATTAATAATGACCTTACAAAAAAAAATTTTTTTTCCACAATTTTATTAAAAATATTTTCAATATTTTTTTTTGTACACATTTTAGTTGTTGGCATTATTAAAATTACTACAGCAGTTAAAAAATTTTCGTTTATTTTTTAAAATGCTTCAATGAATTTCGACTCCGAATACAATGATACAGTTAATAGAACATGGAATAAGCTGTGGTATTAGTTTAAACACTTCTGAACTACCTCTAGTATTGAACCTCTTTTTAAATAGCTTGATTCCATTCAGAGAGCAAGTAAGACATAGAAAATTACTCAGTATCGCCTTACTTATTCTAAATTTGCCTTTGAAAGCGCTTTATATACTTTTGTATTAAAATTTTTAACATTTCAATCCAAAATTAAGGATTATTTTATACACAGAATTCAAATCATCCCCATTCGTCTTTATTCACTACCGCTTACCCCACCCAAAAGCACAATATATGCAGTAATTGCTATTATCCAACAAAAAATTATTTCTTTTAAAAATTTAAAAAAAAAAGTTTTTCATCTAAACTTGTCTACGTTTCTACAATTTCTCATTTACAAATAGACATATTGAGGCTTCTTTCATAATAAATGTTTTCACTTAAAAAAAAGAAAACAAACAAAACAAAAAATTGGGATGCTTTCTACAAAATTTTCTATATAAAAGATTTTTGTAATAAAATGACTATTCAGTCTAGTCAAATAAACATGTAGAAAAATGTAAAATACAAAGGATTATTACATCAAAAAAATGGAAAATGAGAAAAGTTAAAGCTCATAAGAAAAATTTATAGTCACGTACAATTTAAAATAAAAATGTGTACTTTTAGTCTTTGTTTATTGTGACATGCTGAAGGAAAACAAGAAATAAAAAATTTTTATTTTAAAACAAAAAGAAAAAATTAAAATGAAGTTTCTTAAGACATCAGAGTAAAAGTATAAATCTAGTCCTTCAATTGAAAAATTGTTGTTCTTTTGTTTAAGCAAAAAAAAAAACATAAATTTTGAAAAAGACTAAATTAGAAAATTGTATATTTCAAAAAACATTATTCAAAAGCAAAAATGAAAGGATCACGTTGTTATAACGTTTAAGACATTCGAATGTAGACGTCGCATTTATGATCAGAATTTTCTAATAATACAGCATACTTGAAACTTGAAACAAAAGTTGTTGGAATCAAATACAATGTACTATATAAAAATGTCTAATTTAGACAGCATACAACCCTGACCCTGAATTTTCTGAATAATATTAACAAATGGTTATAATATCAATTCGCCGAAAGAAATGTACAAGATTATCGAAATCAGCTTTAATAAAATATTTAATTTAGATGATTAGAAAACGTGTATAACTCGTAGGAAACCTCCTGTAGTTAGCGTATTTGGAAAATTAAAAATTTGATTCTTAGTAGAGGGTCACTTTCTGGAGTACTATTTTCATAAGAAATTTTTTCGTAAGTCAAAAAAATCTCACATTAATAGTAGATTTTCAGAATACTTGTAAAATAAGCTCACATGTAGGCACTTAGATTCCTTTGAAAAGGTAGACGAATGGTCGTCTAAATATGCTAGTGTAAAATTATTAGTCTCTGGCCTGCCACAATATTTAATAAACCCGTTACGTGGCAAAAGAAAACCTATTATAAATGTTGCTAAAATATATTTAATTTAGAAATTGTGATATATGAGTGTAAAACCCTTAATATCTTTGGTCCCGTCATTAGCCATTTTCAATATATCAAAATTATTTTTATTTACCAATAATGCTACTCCAAAGAGGAATATTAAAAAATGTCTTTAACGTAAATATTTCTCAAAAATTACGTTCAAGAAAATTTTATTTATTGTAAAATGAAAATATAAAGTGGTTTTCTTCCTTTAAGTTTTTAAAGTACTAGAGGGATTTTAATAAATAATACAGAAATTTGAATTTTTTTTTCTTTTTTTTTTGTTTTTCTTAAAAATATTTTTATAATCACTAGAACTTTTATATAACAATAATAAGAAATCATTCCGACAACAAGTCAACAAATATTTTTTTCATAACTTTTTCAAATATTCAAAAGAAATTTTTTGTAATTCTGCATATGTGTAATATGTGTGTATTACACTTATGTGTTATACACAATGTACGAGTATTATATAATAGATGCATGTATGTAAATTTGCTGTACATCTTAGAAAAGTTTTCAATCGATTCGTATTAAAATTGATTGGCATATTACTCATATCTGCAATTAAAACTTAAACAAACCATTGTACAAAAAAAAATTATTTATGAACAAAAAATTGCATACTTTTAGGGACATGAATTGTATTTATTAAAATAAATAGAATTTTTTTTTAATTCTAAGAATATGACGTCATTATAAAAATATGGTGTACTGTGAATTTGATGTAAATATTAAGAAAAATAATAAAATTTTTATTGTAAACTGTTGAATGAGTTTTTGAAATTTTAAATGTTATGGAAATTTTTTTGGAAATTTAAAGATATTAAAATTTCTAGGTAATTATTACATAAATAATATTTTCATTTTGTAAAATCATAATATAAGTTCATTGCGTTATTAAAATTTAAAAATTTTTTCAAAGCCTAATTAAAGTGCTTAACATTAAAGTAATTATGAGTAGATTTAATGGTACCCTATTCCAAATCACCAAGATTTTCTCTTCAATTTTGATATTCACTTAATAATATTCATTCATTCTTTCTTTTTTTTTCTTACAGGCAATGTATTTGTAATTGCTGCTATTATTTTAGAAAGAAATTTACAAAATGTTGCAAATTATTTAGTGGCATCATTAGCAGTTGCAGATTTATTTGTAGCATGTTTAGTGATGCCTTTAGGAGCTGTATATGAGGTATCAAAAAAAAAAAAATTTAATTTTTTTAATTTTTTTCGAATTTTAATTTTTAATATATAAAAATATAGATCAGTAAAGGATGGATCCTGGGACCAGAATTGTGTGATATTTGGACATCATGTGACGTTCTTTGTTGTACAGCATCAATATTACATTTAGTAGCAATAGCAACCGATAGGTAAGTACAAATTATTATTAACAAATTATTATAAATATTCATTTATAAAATTGAAAATTTTCATTTGAAAACATAAAATGAAGTCAATAATAGATCGGGGGGGGGGGGGGGGGGGGGGCGAGCTACATGATTGCTGAACACTAACATTTTGAATACGATATTAAAAATTGGTTTTATAAGACAATCTTAGTTTTCAATGTCTAGAAACGGTACTTAATTTTGGTAAGATGTGAGCTAGAAAATTTCGAATATAAATTTTTTGTAAATTAGTCGATTTTGTATGATTTTTAGAAATCCCTGAAAATTACAGACAAAGTAAAGAATTTATATGTGTAAAACAATATCGTTTTTGCTTGTCTTCCTTATCAGCTGTAAAAGCAGAATATTAGCCATTAGTTTTTTTATTGTATTTCAATCTGAAATTGAATTTAAGTCCAAAAATCACTACCTTTTGAAATTTGAAGCAAGTACGAATTTCATTTAAAATTTTATAAAACAACAACATTTAAGTTAAATAAGATTCCTTTAAAAGAATTTCAAGGATCAAATGAACCTTAAAATTAATACTTACCTTAAAAATCTTAAGTGTCATAAAATGTGGTATATTTTTTATATCCCCTATACTTTCTTTATTGGTTTAAATTTCAAAATATATTTTTTTTTTTTCACTTGAAACATTTTTAATATGCTTATCTATATATTTTTTTCTCCGAAATCAGCAACATAATATTTATTTTCGTAGAAGAATATAATCCCCCAAAATTTTTTTTTGGTTTTCTATAATATTTGTATTATAATATACTCTAAATATTTTTTGGATCAAATTTAATATAATTTAAATTTTAAGGACATTTTTGATTTGCTCGGCATTGTATTGTTTATTTATGAACAATACACTATGCTCTCACTTATTTTTAATATTAAAAATAATAATTTTAATTCTAAATATAACAATAAATTAGTAAAGATTTTTTCATAAAAATTCTATTTAAATCGGCGGGATACATACAAAATTTTAGATCACGTTCTAATTGTTTAAAAAAAAATATTATTTACACCCAAAAATATTTTATTAAAACCTTAAAGTAATAGCAATAAAATAGAATTTTGTTTTACTTTTTTTGAGAAAAAATTGTCCCACCAAATTTCTTAAAAACACAAAGTGAAAATTTTTGGTTTAGAGTATACAAAATTCTATCACTTAACTTGACAACACAAAAACAGAAACAAATAAACAAAAATAATCACATGAATTAAAATAAAGTAAGATTTGGCCTTGGAAACCCTACTGGTAACCCCTATAAATCAATTCGTTTCCTTCTTTTTTTTGGTTATTTCTGTTCCCCCCCCCCCCCTCACCAAATATTTAATATATTTTTTTTAATCTAAAGAACCTTGAATTTTACTTGTACATATTTTGTTGTTTTTTTTTTAAATATCCTTGCATGAATTTTATTTCCCTTTCTGTTTTTCTCGTTTTTTTTTTTATATTTTTGATTTACTAAAAATTGTCCATTTATTTTTTCACTGTCGCATAAATTGTTAAAAGTGAAGAAAAAAAAAAAATAACAAATTTCTTTTTTTTTAGCACTTTTCCAAAAATTTTTTGAAAAAAAGTGCTTATTAGTTTCACTCTGTCCGTCCGTCCGTTCGTTCGTCTGTCCGTGTGTCTGTTTGCAAAACTTCTACATTCTTAAAGATAGAAAGCTGAAATTTAATATGTACATAGATCTTTACTAGAAACTTATTTTTGTAGAACAAAATTTTTACCTATCTCCGCCCCTCCAGAAGTTATACCCCCCCAAAGCACTAAAAATGGCCTATTTTAAATATTTGTTGCAATGAAACCATAAGCATTTTTGAAATTTTGCAAACGCAAAAAGGCAGTGGCTTGCTTCCCCTACCGCAGTATACTATAGTTAAACTTTAGAAAAACAAAATGGCCGTTCAAATTTACCGTTATCTACAGTCCTTTTTTTCCAAATTTTTGATGTCGTTTTTCTTCTAGACCCCAGCCTGTAGAAGCTTGAAATTAGGGGCTTTTAGACATTAACAAGTAGTTTATTTCTTTAGAAGAAAATTTTTTTCCATCTCCACCCCCTCTCAAGTTATGAAATTTGTAAAATTTGCATTTTTGACACCTTATATTTCTGAAACCGCAAGCTTGAATAAATGTAAATAATTTTAATAGTGTGGTGAATATACATAGACTGTTTTTAAAAGCAGTATTTTCACTTGTTGAACGGAAAAGTGCTACAATACAAACCATTGGTTTGACCCAACTTTATTTTCTCTTTCTAATTTTATAAATTTTAGAGAAAATGTTGAAAAGAGAGAAAAAATATAATAGGTTTTTATGTGTTAGAAATAATTTATTTTCTTTTCAATAACCGCCTCTTATACTGCCTCCTTGTCTGAATTCATTCTCTAATTCCTTTATTGCTAACATTTTATTGAGTCGAAATGAAAAATAATAATTCTTTTGCAAATGGAAATTATATACATAATACACACACCATATATAAAAGAAAAATATAAAAAAAAATTGAAAAACTATACAACAACTGACAAACTTGTTTAGTAGAGAATGAAAGCTATTAAGTTCCGAAAATATCGCGCACAGTGTGCGTTTTATTGAAAATTACTGTTATATTTTTTTTTATTTTGCCTTTCTAATATAATTTCTTATTACTGTTAATCAAAGATCAGCAGAAAAGAAAGTCATTTTAAGTTGGAGGAATAATATGAAAGGAGTACACAATGGTGAAAAATATTTTATATAATAAAATTAAAATTGTTTTTTTTTTCGAATATCAAATTTCAATTTTTCAAATTTTATTGAAAAAATTTTCAATAGAAAAATATTAATAACTTGTGCTTTATTATAAATAGAATTAAATGTAGCTTGAATGTAAATTTGTCGTATAACAGTATTAATATTAGTATTATATCAGATGAATTGTTTAGTCCCAGCATCAATTGTCATGCAAGTTAAAATTACATGAAAGAGTATGAAAACAATGATTATTGTGGGTAGTGGAGAGGTAGTGAAGGTAGAGTTTATTAGTATGAGAGACATTTTTGGACTAAATTTTACGGAAAAAGAAATAATGAGTTGAATCACAATATCGCTGTAATATAAGCCATAATTAAACATAATTTAAATGCCTTAAACGTGCAGACCTCAGAACACAATTACCAGCATCAACAATAAAATCCTAATCAATTGTACGCAATGTCCTAGTCAACGGCCTATTTCTACCATAATACGTCCTAGTCAATGCCCCATTTCTACCCAAATACGTTCAAATTATTCGAATTCTCTCTAAAACATGCCCGCTTCAAAAACAAGTGAAGAACTATGTTAAAGAACTGTTTCAACAACAAGTTCAAAAACTGTGATACAAGGTTCTTTGGAACAAATTGGAGAATAAAAACCCCGTCAGCAATTATCTTACAAAGCAATGCGAAATGAAAAAATCTCCTCTGAACTGTTTCGATCTTAAAAATATCAATGAAACGATAAGACGTCCAAACTTGACACACATACTCCAAAATGCTTCCCTAAAGTATAGCAAGTTTAGAATGTTTTAGTGTATAGTGAATAGTTGATTTTTAAAAATGAAGTTTTCTGTTATGGTGTTATGTAATATTAATCAGCGGCAGCTTACTTACTTAATTATTTTTTACATTTTTGTATTCAAATTGCAAAGTGGTGAATACAATAGGGTCTTTGTTCATTTATGAAACAGAATAAGGGTGTATGACAATTTCACTTGCAAATTCTAAAATTAAGTAAATCTAGATCTAGTTAAATAATCCATAAATTATTTAAATTTTTTCTATACTAATTGGAACAATTTCACCTCCATATGTTTGACAAATCCTTTACGATACGACTTAAGACATAATATCTGAATAGGAGTGCCTCTACTCCTTCCCCCTCCCCAATGTATAAATCAACTTTACTATGTTTTGAATCATTTCCAACATACGTGTATCCTTAAAATATCCTTAAAAATATAATAAAATTTATTAAAATATATAAAGGGAAAAAAAATATAGGATTGAAAATTTCCTCTTGTTTTATAATTTTATTAATAATTTTTTTGTTTTCTTTATACTTTTTCTGCGTTATTAAAATTGTTTAGGGGGCAAAAAAAAAATTGTGCGTCTAATGTAAAAAAAAAAAACAAAATAAGGTAAGATTTGCTGCTTCAGCTCAATTCACTCAAACCCCTATATTGAATATTGAAGTTTTCTGCTTATTTATATTTTATTTTTTTATTCTAAATTGAAGTGAGAAAACCAAAGAAAAGAAAATCTTTCCTTTTTATATTTATTTTTTTTTTTTTTTGTACTTGTTTTTTGTTTGGAATTCTATAAGGAAGAAAAAAGTTTGGAAAAGAAATCGTTTATTAGCTTTATTTGGATTTACTTGGTACTTTTTACTTTTTTACTTACCATATACTTTTTTTCCTTTCTATAACGTGAAAATACAAGGATACATTTAAATCCAATTATTTAAAGAAAAAAAAAAATTTTTTTTTCTTCCTTAATATGATGTGAATTTTATATGGAAGAGTGAAATGAAAGCAATGTGCTAATTCGTTATTATTCTCCTGAGGACCATAGGGCTTCAAAAATAGGCTCACCAACTTTCTTTGTTTTGTGTCAGTCTCTTTATTTGTGCCCATGTTTTATTGATTAGTTCTAATTCTTTCTGCACATTTCTTTTGCATGCCTCTTTTGGTCTCCTCAGATTTCTTCGTCCTTAGGTGTTCCATTCGAGGGTTTTGACGTGTTATTCATGTCACTATTGATGCCTTATTACATTTCCATTTCCATTTTCTTCTTTTTATTTGAATTTCTATTAAATCCTGTTTCGTCATTACCGAGGAGCTGTGGGTAAGTATTTTTTCGTGGGTAAAATAATTTCCATATAATTTTAAGATATTTATTAACGAAGACCTGTATTCTGTGCATATTAGAATTAAACA